TCCCATCCATCCATCCATCCATCCATCCCCCCACCCTTCATTTTTCATCTTTCTCATCTCATCTCTCACTCCCCTCCCCCAATATCTCATATCCTCTCTCTCTCTCTGTGTCTCACGTAACACTGGTGGACGTACCTTGACTTGGTTCCTAAAAGCCTTGGAGAACATTCTCCACCCCTCCCGTCTTTTACAAAACGGAGCACCCAGAGGCTTGGAGACCCAGAACGAAATTGACCTGTAATTCCTCCCCCCCCCCATCCCTTAAGCAGTCAAATGATCTCCACCAGCCTCCTGAACATGCGTGGGTGGGAAGACTTCAAAATTCTGGACAAAAGGACTCTTTGTACCTTCACAGGAGCCAAAACCCTCTCCATTAAAAATCAAATTAGGATGGGGGGACGTGACGGGACGACAAAGAGAAACCGCTCACCTGAAGAGCTTCGGCCCCTTATTTCATGCCCTTGCAGCTGACCACAACAGCAATGCCCAAGTTGCTCAGGTATGGTACCAACTGAGGAAAAGGAAATAGTGAAATTGTTGGGTTTTTTTTTTTTTATCTCCAGGAATGGAATTACAGGTATCCCTTGACTTACAACCACAATTGAGCCCAAGATTTCTGATGTTAAGGGAAGACATTTGTAAAAGTGAATTTTGCCCCCATTTTAAGACATTTCCTGCCACAGCTGTTAAGTGAATCACGGCAGTTGTTACGTTAGTCACCCGATCGTTGAGTGACTCTGACTTCCTCATTGACTTTGCGCTCTTCCTGCGCCAACTCAGGAAGCTCAAACGGAGCTGCTGATCCAGTTCCACAGAGGAAGGATGGAGTCTGTCATCTGCACCTCTAGAACTGTCTGGTTTGGCTCTACAACCCAACAGGACAGACACAGACTCCAGAGAGTAATTAGGACTGCAGAAAAAGCAATGGCTACCAACCTGCCTTCCATGGAGGATCTGTGTCAACTAAAAAGATACTCCTTTGGTCTTTTTAGCTGCCAGAGAAAGGGAATGGGGGAAAACAGTGCATTCTTGAAAAGCCTAAATATCAACTCAGCAGCCCAAAGTTGTCGGACCATAAGAAGGTTATTGGAGAGCATGATGGATGACTCTTGGAGACAGATGTGTCCGATGGGAGAAGCCACACCCAGGGGTTGGGGGAAAGACCAGGGTCAAGGGGGAAATGTATGATGCGATTTAGTACCGGCTGCACCCAGCCATGCGCCAACATGGCAATTTCCAATAAAACCAATTTACTTTTTCTGAGACGCGGCTAGAGACTTTTGCTTTGAATGAGGGGGGATTTGTTGGAGCCCTGACAACCTGTATCCTGCCCGAGTCAAAAAGAGGGCTGTGAAAATATCTACAGACCCCTCACATCCCGGACATAAACGGTTTCAACTCCTACCCTCTAAACGACGCTACAGAGCAGCGATGGCGAACCTTTTGTTGTGGTGTGCAGAAAGTGTGCACATGCAATGTGTCCGCCCCCCTGCACATGCATGCGCAACCCTCCCCCTCTTATCTGCACTGCACATGCGCATGTCCCCCAACTGATTTTTGGGACCATTTGAGGCTGTTTTTGCCCTCCCGGGGGCTTGAGGGAAGCCTCTGCAACCTTTGGAGGCCGAAAAACAGGCCCGTTTTGGCACTTCCTGTATTTCCTGTAATTGTTTTTTCTGCAGAGGCCTCCCTCGAGCCCCTCAGAAGGGCGAAAATGGCCTCAAATGGGCCAAAAATCATCTGGGAGGCGCGCACAGGCACAGCGCAGGTAAGTTTGGCTGGGGCTCGCGTGCCCGCACAAATGGCTCTGCGTGCCACCTGTATTCGCCATCATGGCTATAGAGCCCTGCACACCAGAACAACTAGACACAAGGACAGTTTTTCCCCCAACGCCATCACTCTGCTAAATAAATAATTCCCTCCACACTGTCCAACTATTTGCAAAGTTCGAACTACTATTACTGTTAATCTTCTCATCACTCTTAATCATCCATCCCCTCCCACTTGTGACTGTATGACTGTAACTTTGTCGCTTGTATCCTAATGATTTATATTGACTGTTTCCTGGTATGATTTGATTGCTTATTGTACCCTATGACTATTATTATTCAGCGTTGCACCTTATGATTCTTGATGAATGTATTTTTTCTTTTATGAACACCGACAGCACTTGCACCAAAGACAGTTGGACAGTGCTGAGGGAATTATTTGTTTAGCAGAGTGATGGCATTTGGGGGAAAAAATTGTCCTTGTGTCTAGTTGTTCTAGTGTGCAGTGCTCTATAGTGTCGTTTTGAGGGAAGGAGTTGAAACACTTTATGTCCAGGATGTGAGGGGTCTGTAGATATTTTCACAGCCCTCTTTTTGACTCGTGCAGTATACAGGTCCTCCATGGAAGGCAGGTTGGTAGCCATTGTTTTTTCTGCAGTCCTAATTATCCTCTGGAGTTTGTGTCTGTCCTGTTGGGTTGCAGAACCAAACCAGACCGTTTCAGAGGTGCAGATGACAGACTCAATCATTCCTCTGTAGACCTGGATCAGCAGCTCCTTGGGCAGTTTGAGCTTTCAACTTATCAACTCCAGCGATTCGCTTAACAACGGTGGCAAGAGAAAGTCGAACATGGGGCAAAACTCCCTTTAACAAATGTCTCCCTTAAAAATGGACGTTTTGGGGCTCAATTGTGGCTGTAAGTTGAGGACTACCCGCAGAGGCCAAAGAGGTGGCCTGGGTTTTAAATTTTCAGGCTTGTGCTGTATGGGGGCTCACCTAGTGGCGAAGGGGAATATGGCCTCGAAGAGCCTGTGGACAGTCTGCGGCCAACGGTCTGGACAGTGTCAGCCGGCACCGGGGAGCTGGAGCCGGTCTTGAGGAAGCCCAAAGGACTGGTGTTTGACCGTCGCACTGCCCCAGATCTGAAAGCAGAAGAGAAAAGGTTTAATAAAAGAAAGCTAAGACACCTAGGAAATAACACAGCGAAAAATTGTATTTATTCCTCTATTGAAATAACTGTCCATGTGGCAACCTTCCGACAGGAGGGCAATCTTGAAATGTTTAATCGATTTCAGGACCATTACCTTATTTACAGCAGGTATATTTGTATACGCACATATAAAATATAATTTTATATCTATATATCCATATCTATATCTAAATGTATATGCAGGAATACACACACACACACACACACACACACAGAGAGAGTTTGGTCTAATGGTTAAGGCACAAGGCTAGGAAGCTGATGAGCTCAAGTTCAACTCCTGTCTTAGCCATGAAAGCCTGCTGTGTAACTTTGGACCAAGCACTAGGTGACCGTGAGTTCTAGCCTCGCCTTAGGCATATAAAGCCAGCTAGGAATAATTAAGGGAGAATATAGCAAGACAGACAGGTACATTGTCTTACACATAACAACTCCTGCTAGGATTACATATGCACAGTACTGGAAACAAGGAGATATACCACAAGATGGAGCAGTGATAAGAAAAATTCTAGACTGCCCGGAAATGGACAGGCTGACTTTAGAGTTAAAGGATAGAGGTATCTGTGCATTATTCAGTCTGGGACGCCTGGTATATATGGTTTGACAATAGAAAGAAAAGCAATACTGTAACTAACTAAAGAATATGAAGCTATATGTACTGAATGTAGAAGTAACAGAAAATGTATTATGTAACAAGCGATATAGGTAAGGAGTAAGGAATAGAGAATTAACAGAAAAATATGTAATAATCGTACTGCAATAGAAAATTAAGTAGAGTATATGCACATGTGATGTATAGTAGCTAGATTATCGTTATTAAACTAGAATGTGATAATTATGTAGTGATTATATTATGATAAATTTTGATTATGGATTAAAGGGGAATAAATTGAGGGATAAAAGGGTGGCATACTCTAATTGATACTTAAAGGGGAAAATTTTGGGGGAATTATTAGATTTAAGATGGAATTTATTGAATAATGAAACAAAAGTATATTACAAAATTGCAAATGCGACAGATAAAAGTATAAAGGTATAATGAATTTAGAATTAAAAAATAAGAATGTTAAGACTATAGAATAAGATTTGAGAACATTTATAGAAAAAGGAGTTAAGATAAGATAGAAATTGAAAATGGATTTAATAAGTGTAAAGAAAATAAGAATTAGTGGAGAAAATTTACTGGAAAATGGAAGTAATGATATGATATAGAATTGAATGTGAAAGATAAATATGTACTATGGTCTTGTATTGAAGTGTAAACCTGGAACCACGTTGACTGAAAGAGAAGTTTTGAAAATATAAAAATAATAAACATTTATTACAAAAAAAGAAAAAGAAAATTAAGTAGAGGAATATGGTTAAGAAATGCTAATGATGTCTTCAACGTTGTTGCAATTGTTATTTTTTTAAAATGCTTTTAAATTGTTGGAAAAACTGAATAAAGTTTATTTAAAAAACCTGTTTCATACTTATGACCGTTGTGTCTGATCCCCCTTTTGTGACCTTCTGACAAGCAAAGTCAGTGGGAAAGACAGATTCACTTCACAATGCGATTACTAACTTATCCACTGCAGGGATTCACTTCAACAACTGTGACAAGAAAGGGCAAAACTCACTTGACAAATGTCTCACTTAACAACCTAAAATGTTAGGCTCAACTGTGATCATTAGGCGAGGACTACCTGTATCTGATTTTGGCTGGGGAAGCCAGCCAAAGGCAGGTAATCCTCAAGTTACAACAGTTTAGTTTAGTGATGGTTCAAAGTTACCACAGCGCTGAAAATAATGACTTTATGACCGTTTTTTCCCCACACATACAGTTGTTGCAGCATCCCGGTGGTCACGTGTTCAAAATTCAGACGCTTGGCCACCGACTCATATTTATGACGGTCTCATATTTATGTGTCCCGGGGTCACGTGATCCCACTTTTGCAATCTTTCGATAAGCAAAGTCCACGGGGGAGCAAGACTCATTTAACAACCAAGTTACCAACTGTGGTGTGTCAACTCATAAAATATTTCTTTTCTTTTTTTAAAAAATAAACTTTATTAGTCTTTTGTACATTTTAAAAATAAAACAAAAAATAAATATCACGACATGAACAGTTTTGTGACATCCATCTCATCCATTTCTATCTTTTGTGTACATTTTCAAATATATACAATTTTGTGCATATGTATTTAATTTACATTTCATCTGTAAGTTGCTTATCTTTAATTCCTTCATTTTCTATCTGTCTTAATTCGATCCGATTATATCATTTCCCACAAATTCTATAGTATTAACGGCTGCTAGAATAGCTTATGCTGAATGTTGGAAGCACAACTGTATACCATCGGATGAACTGATTATTCAAAAAATAACAGAATGTGCTAAAATGGACAAATTGACTTTAATGATACAAGAGAAAGAGGAGTCTGAATCTCCTAAAATATTTCTTTGGTCTCTTTAGAGTTGCCAACAGAAAGGGAGGGTGGGGAAAGGGGTTTGAAAGAGCAGTACGACAGCTTGGAAATCGAAAGTGCATTCCCTAAATAGTTTTTCAAAGATAGTAACTAGGTGACTGAAGTTCCTGCCACACAAAATTCTAACTGGAGAGCATGATTGATTATTCTGGGCTATGGATGTGTCCCATTGGAGAATATGAATTACAATACGCCCAGGCGGATGGGGGAAAACCAGGGTCAAGGGCGACAGTGTGTCTCAAGAGTCGGCTACACCCAGGCAGTGCCGACATGTTAACTCCCAATAAATCCTTTTGAAGTTTGGCTCGAGACTCATTACTTAATTGGGGGTAACTGCCGGAATCCTGACAAACAGTTCATTTAGTGACCCTTCCAAGTTACAAAGGCACTGAAAAACACGACTATGACCGTTTTTCAGAGTTACAAAATTCAAAATTTCAATTTCAAAATTCAGACGCTTGGCAACAGACTCCTATTTATGAGGGTTGCAGCATCCCGAGGTCAATTGATCCCCCTTTGCGACCTTCCGACAATCGAAGTCAACGAGGGAAGCCAGGATGCGGGGGGAAAAACAGGGTTAAGGGTGACAATGAATGATGGGTCTCAGAGTCGGCTACACCCAGGTGATGCCGGACATGTTAACTCCCAATAATTCCTTTTGAAGTTTTGGAAGTTTGGCTGGAGACTCAGGATTTAAATGGGGGTAACTTCTGGAATCCTGACACGGTGATTCACTTAACACCCACGGCAAGTCGTAAAATGAAGATAAACCCAACTGACACTTAACACTTGCTTGGCAACAAAAATTCTGGGCTCAACTGGGGCTGTAAGTCAAGGAACACCTGTACCAGGTGTGATAAGTGGGGAGGAGATCGTGGGATCAGCCAAAGACCCAGGGAGAAAGGAGGTCTTACCTTGGTGACCCGTGAGGGTTTGACCCCGGGCTGGTGGCCGACGTCAGGTTCTGCTCTATGAGCTGGTAGTTCCGTAGCTGAGTAGGGACTGGGATGGGCGCCGTTTCGCTCCGGGGGGAGACAGAAGGCTGGCACTGCCTGGAGATAGAATAGAATAGAAGAACAGAGTTGGAAGGGTCCTCGGAGATCTTCTAGTCCAACCCCCTGCCTAGGCAGGAAACCCTACGCCACTTCAGACAAAGGGCTGTCCAACATCTTCTTAAGTGTTGGAGCATTCACAACTTCTGGTGGCAAGCCGTTCCACCGATTCATCGCTCTAACTCTCAGGAAATTTCTCCTTAGTTCTAAGTTGTTTCTCTTTTAAGTTTAGTTTAGTCACCTGAAATCTCCATCACAATAGAGCTGGAAGGAACCTGGGAGGACATCTAGTCCAACCCCCTTGCTCAAGCAGGAGCAAGGTATCATTTCAGACAAGTGACTGTCCAGTCTCTTCTTAAAAACCTCCAGTGATGAAGCACCCTTAAATTCTGGTGGCGAGCTGTTCCCCTGGTTAATCGCCCTCACTGTTAGGAAATGTCTCCTTAGTTCTAAGTTGCTTCTCTTCTTGATGAGTTTCCCTCCGTTGCTTCTTGTTCTGCCTTTTGGTGCTTTGGAGAATAGCTTGACT